GGAAGTCGAGTGCGGGGGCGCATCCCTCAGACGGGATTGATTAACGCCAAAAAAACTTTATCCTTTTATCCTTTAACACTACAACAATACCTAATTTGAGGCAGATTCACTTTAATGTTATTCCCAATAAGATAAATTAATAAAAGGTAACTGGTAATTCTCATTCAGTTACTGAGAGTAGCAGAAAACGACGATTTATGTGAATGACGGGACTATCCCTAGTTCCTAGCTCCAGTTTCTGAAATTACGGGATTGAAGTTGGCGAAGAAATAGAGGGGATCTAATGAACAGAGCAAGTTACAGGTAATATAATCTCAGTATAATTTAATCCAATAGAGTAAGAGATGTTGATAAAATGAATAAAGAAGTGGTAAGGAAAGAACGATAGAAAAATCGTCGAATCCAGTTCAACCGCAGAAAAATTCCAAATCACATTAATACTAACTTTTCGAATTGAACTCACTTGGTGGCGCATATTCTTCTCGCCAGCGGTAATCATGTGCTGTGACAGGGTACTCTTTGTTGTCCCCAATCTGTCGGAGTCGTATGTGCCGTAGCGGTACATACGCAGGTTTTCTTAAGAAGCGTACTTGAATCAGGGCAAAACAGACATTACCATTTCTGGAATACAGAGAAGTAGTTTTTTTTAATCTTTTTCAGGAACTACTCAGCACTTATCAGCTCTTTTTTCGTTACCATTTACTTCGTCAATAGCCAGGAGCCAGTAGTTCTTACCTAGCAGTCAACAAGAAATACTGTTTGTTTGAAATTGCAGTAGACTGGCCAGTATATAAATTTCTATCACCATGCCTCAACGGAAAGAGTTTTGACAAACAGGTGGTCCCGCAGGCATAGGTCTCGAAGCTTTATTGCGGTCACCTCACCAGAGCGAGGTCACGAGCGTGACGAACTAGTTTCGGTTAAACGAATTCGGTGGCGCTTCCTGACCCTTAAGACAAGCTCAGGCGGTGAAAATGTAGTTGGNTAGCGAAATTTATGGTCAAAGCAGAAATCGACAAGTACCGCGGACAAGGAGGGGTAGGTGTATAACAGCTTGCTCACATACGAATCTATATTAAAACAATGTACTTACAAAATACCTTGCGTAGGTTCGTATTGAAGACGATGTGGTCATTTGGGAGAAGGGCAACGAAAACCTGAGTGACCTACCGAGAACCGTGGAAGAGATCGAACACTTCATGTCGTCCGAAGAGTTCAGCGACTCGACAATTCAGAAAAGCATTCGCGATCATCTGAACAAACATTAAACTGAATCTTCCATTCCTTAACGACCTTACGATTCTGTGATATCGAATACTGATGACTTTGCCAAGTTTTAAGTTTACTCCAAACTCAATTGCGCTGGTTGTTAATAATAATAATAAGCTGTGATATAGCATTTGAGTCGTGCATTGCATTTCATCTCAGTATCTGGAGAAGAATATGGGCTTCATGGTACTGAAAGATATGTATCTTTACTGAAATGATGAGTTGGAAAGTTAAGGGTCATGCACTAAATCGGTTGCAAATTGATCCGAACCACTTTATCGTATGACCATTTCGTTATTTTAACCATACAACAATACCTAATTTGAGGCAGATTCACTTTAATGTTATTCCCAATAAGATAAATTAATAAAAGGTAACTGGTAATTCTCATTCAGTTACTGAGAGTAGCAGAAAACGACGATTTATGTGAATGACGGGACTATCCCTAGTTCCTAGCTCCAGTTTCTGAAATTACGGGATTGAAGTTGGCGAAGAAATAGAGGGGATCTAATGAACAGAGCAAGTTACAGGTAATATAATCTCAGTATAATTTAATCCAATAGAGTAAGAGATGTTGATAAAATGAATAAAGAAGTGGTAAGGAAAGAACGATAGAAAAATCNCTTATTTGGAACCAGCTTGGGTAATACCGGCTCCTTTCACCATTTGATATCAAGGCATTGAATTATGTAAGTGTACTTCGAGTACTAATACATAAATATACAGCACACCTAAAAGGTCCAGCAGCGTTGTGACCTCTGTTTATAGAAGTTGCTAGACTAGGAATGGATTTTTGTATTAGCTATAATTTATATTGAGATCTGGGTGTTGTAGTCCTAAATGGCGTACTATCCCAAGCACACATTGTCCGTGGAGCCGATCCCGGGTGCCGCCTAGGCCAACCAACTTCGCTGCATCAAGGGTTATTAAATTGGTACCGGAGTCGTCGGAGAAGATCTGACCTCTACAACAACTGATCTACAGCAATCGAACTCATCTTACTCACATGCTAAAAGAAAAATCAATTGGCTACGATCTTGGAATAACAAATTAAAGTGGACATACGGTAAACTGTTCGAATTGCATGATAAATTGTTCGTACAATTTTCGCGAAATTCTAATTGTAATGGAACAGGTTTTGTTAGAAAACAATTCCCGGAGATTGGATTATTCATAACTCAAAAGGTTGATCTATCACTTGGGCGTGCGC